AAGCAGGAAATTCGAACCTTGTAACTGGATCGCCCTCTCCCTTACCTAGTGACTGCGGCTCCCCTCCTTCTTGAATATTGTATTCTCCCTATACATCTTGTCGTCTTTAATAAAGATATCCAAAGCAAACCAACCGGGCTTGTCTAGGAACGCTAGTAATCGGGAAGCGGAGACCGAGGAGTCTCGCTCCACATTTATGTAGCTACCAGAGATCAAAGTTCCCAAACACGATAAACCTAATTCGATACAAATTAGGTCTCTATGAAAGAACCTACCCAGGAATCTTGTTACTGACTAAAAATGAGATAGATTATGTGTGTACAGAAATTCAGAGGTAATATTATTTGTCAGAGGGTTGAAATTGTGCTGCTTATCGTTGTTAAGAAGCATAATAAATAGCAATATCTAACGTGACCAGGAACTAGAAATGTAGGTCGAAATGAACTTTCAAAATGGTGTAATCGCTTCTATCTCTTGTATCAAAAATGTAAATTAAAAATAAAAAAGAGAACTAAATGGCGAAATTTGTAGACGACAATACGGTTTAAACACCAAAAAATGGAGACTGGTATGCCATTTATATAAAAGTCAAAGGCAAAAAAGGGTAACCAATACTGTTTAAATAAAAAATTAACATTTTAAAAAATTTAAAATCCAGGTTTAGTGCCCGCAAATGGCAAACTTTGTTAGGTCAACAATTGCCTTAACATTGATTTGCAGCTCATGATTGTTTTAATGGGTGCTGGGAAACTTTCGCTCGTTTTGCAGTTTGTTTATTAGCGTGGCTGGCTGGGTGAGTTTGTGTATTTCTTCTCACTATATGGTATTGTAGCTTTTAGGATGAAAGTTATTGCTTCATCCGAGCGCATAAAGGTTCCCACCAATGTTAAGGTGTCAGTGCGATCACGTATTGTCACCGTTAAGGGGAAGCGGGGGACTCTGAGGCGTAGCTTCCGTCATCTTGCTCTGGACATTAAGGCTACGAACCGTGCTGTTACTGTCACTAAGTACTTTGGTGTACGCAAAGAATTGGCCGCTGTCCGCACTGTTTGCAGTCATATCGAGAACATGATCAAGGGTGTTCAGTTCGGGTATGAGTATAAGATGCAAACTCTGCACGCTCACTTCCCCATCAACGTTATCGTTCCTCCAGACGGTTCTAAGGTCTCCATTAAGAATTTCCTCGGTGAGCGGACCACTCGTGTTATTCCCATGCTTCCGGGTGTGAAGGCTATTGGAAGTGGTGGTGCTTCCGATACTCTTTTAATCCAGGGCAATAATATCGAGGATGTTTCCAAGTGCGGTAAGTTGTTGTTATGCTTTTTAATACAAGTTCTGCTAGCTGCCCTCATTCAGCAATCATGTGCTGCTCGCCATAAGGATATTAGAAAATTCTTGGATGGCATCTACGTTTCTAACCGTGGCACTATTGAAGAAATGAAGTGAATTGAATAATAATTGTATGGTACGAGCTTTTGTTTCTTTTTTCTACTCAAGTTTGGTTGGATGCCCTTCTAGTTATTAAGCTTGAGGTTTTCGGACAGGGTATATGTTGATGCCTAGCTCCATTTCGACACTTCGCTGTCTGGTTTCTCGATAGTATTGGAATGTTTAGCTGTATTAATTGATATTTGTCAGTGCTGATCTGCTCATTTTTTATTTGCGCTGTTTGAAAAAGTTTCCGATTCGATTAGAGTGCAGTAAAGCGCAGTATTTATTAAAGCTAGTTCCGGATTTGTTTGCTTTTAACTTCTGAAATAGGATTCTAGGCCGTTCAATGAGCTTGTCTTTACCTGTTCGCTGACGTTTCACTTAGATCCGGGGCACCAGTTGCCTGGAGATAGTTAACGTTTTTTGTAACCCATTTGTACTCTGTGGACATTGGCCGGGCTGCTACTTTCGATTTCGGTACCACAGGTTTATGATTTGTGGCAGCCAGCCGCATCAAATCTCCAACTTAAGCACATCAAGGTGGATGAGGATATTCTTGGTCTGGGAGCGATTGGACTCTTTGTTACATAAGGCCCACATAAGCTTGTGTTCTATCATTCCCCTACATACATGTTGCTTTTCTCTTCTCACTGGTTCTTCTATCGTTACCCGCTAAGAAGTCGTATCTACGATCGTACTGTATATCTGATATATTTCGTCGTGGCTGGGGGTTTTATGCGTCTGGTGTGCAAGAAACGAATAATAAAGTGCGTTTAAATGGTTACAATTTGTCTTGTGGCAAATAGGGAGGAGGTGGAGGAGTTCTTCCTCAGATTAGCACAGTGGTTGAGTCGGAAAGCTTTGGGGCGGACTTGAGTTCGCCTCTGTCGCGGCGCTTGGCGATTTGGGACTGGACGGTTTCTGTGCCTTTGTCCGCCTAAAATAGAGGAGCTAAGAGTTACTTCTACTTTCTACCTTGAGTAGAGTTGATTTTAGGTCTCAAGGTTACATGCTGGAATTGGTGTTTGAGGCGGCCGTGCACTCGTGCAGGCGATTGTGCATTTTCATGCCACGGGTAGTCTGACCGATATAGCCACACAGGCGACACCGCAACTCAGAGCTTCCTCCCCCTACATGTTCCCAATCACCGTTTAAAGATCGAGAGGAGGGAGAGGTCTCACTACTGTCGCCCTGTGAGAGTGGTGAGGCAGGTTTCATGCACAGCGTCATTGGACAGCTGTCCACCTCTGCCAGACGTCGTCTTTTTGGTGAGTGTGAACGCTCCGAACTCGTCGAAGACTTAGTGCTCTGTGGGGTGGATGATGTCGTGTTGCTGTGGGAACTGGCTGCGTTTTCTGACGCCATACTGCCTTTGCGACGCCCCTGGCAGTAATACTGTTGATGTGCCTAAAAGATTTGGCAATAAAGTAGGTATCGAGCGAGTGGGTGTGAGTGAAGCACTCCTAGGGGAGGGGGCCTTATCAGCTATCAGAATCACGGAATAACCAAAGTGGCGCCAGTCTCAGCTCCCCTGACGTTGGAGAATTAATCGGCAATCTCAATTTAAAGAAGAAGAGGAAGAGAGGAGGGGTCGGCCTTATCGGTACCTCCACCTACCGCAAGCCCCTGTGCCCGGGCTATCGCCGCACGTGCGCGCAGACGCGTGCAGCTCTCAACCGGCGCCAATGTCTTCGTATCGCCTCCATCTCGGTTTCGCCTTGGCGCCTCTAAACCGCAAGTCGCTTATCGCCTCGTCATCTATATTAACACACACTCGTGCACAGCTTCTCTACCCGTTTTCTCTTCGCAGCCTTGGTGCTGAGGCCTGTGTAAACAATACACTTTCCACGGCCCAGGGAACAGACCGTGTGGATTGTTTTGTTAGAATTTAGCTAAAACTTTAGTTTAAGATGGGGGCTGAGATTAGCACCATCTGCGAAGCTTATCTCAGCCGGCAGATGTCCGCTTTATGGGCGGGCTTATGTGTTGCCTATCTGGTTTTCATTTTTTCAGTACTTATTTGTTTTACCTGGTATCTACCTTAACCCCCACCAAAACTGATTCTTCATCAATCTTTTGCTAACAGAATTAACTGAGCATTTTTTTGAAAAAGACAATATTTTCAACTTTAGACAAATACGGCTACTTACAAGGGCTGCAGCCGTCAGACCCTACAAGATATTGACCTGAACGTTTTAAAGGATCCCCCACTACTCCCGGAGAAATCAAACGACTCATGAGGCTTACCTTGAACGTGGTGTAGGCTTGAAAGCGTGTTTGACAATTGGTGCAGAGATAGGGTCTCTGTACCTCAACAGTGGATCCTTCTGTGGAAGTTCTGGCAATATCTACTGATGAAGTGAGTTGGTGTGATTGGCCTGACGCCATGGCTTGTAAAAATGCCTCCAACGCTGCTGCATCTGGAAACTTCCCCCCAAACCACCAATTTGGGGGTGGAACTGGTGGTGGTGGCGGAGGTGGGAGCGGTGGTGGTCCTGGGGGAGCCATGCCCTTGCTTACCAAACCCGAGATAATTGTGGCAAGGAGGCTATTTGTTGCATTCTGCTGAGTTATCGAGGGTGTCGGTCCTGTCTCTTCCGCCGCCACCACTGTCGCTGTCTCCTCTCCCGTCGATTTCGCAGTTCGAAGGTCGAGTGGAGCTCGTACTCCACTCCCTCCGCTTTCTCCTCTCCCCACTCCGCTTGCACTACCACTTCCACCTCCACCACAAACAGGATGCACTGGTACATAAACAAACCCTGCATCGGTAATTAGGGGAGCAGTCATCACCAAACCGAGGCGCTTTGCTGCGTCCGCCAAGTGACCCACATCAGCACTGCCTTCCGCCGCGAGCTTGTTCAAGTGTCGACTGATGCCCACATGGAAGGAGAAGATGGAGTTGGAGTAGAAGCGCTGACAACCGCGACAGTAGAGAGCACGAGACTTCTCCTCAGCCGAGGGGTAAAGTTGATGAGGAGCTTGTTGTTCTGCCGTGACTGGTGGGGCTCTGCATCGACCGAGGGAGGCGAGGGTGGCGGCAAATGTGACAAGGGGATCAGTGGTGTTGCCAACAGCTGCAGCAGCGAGAACACTGCTTAAGTCTGGAGGGGGATGGGAAAGACAGGGAGGGGAGACACCGCTGCGTCCGGTGGTGCTGGCACCACCGCCACTGGCACAGGGAGTCGAGCGATTGGTATTGTGTGGGGAGTGCGGGTTGGCTAGTCCATTCAAACGCTTTCCTGGCGTGGTTCTGCTTGGCCAGGAGAAAGCTGAATGGAAAAAAGCGTGATGAAACGGAGAGTGACTTCTAGTTTTCTGAACCTCTTATTCAAATTCATCCAAATCTGATCAAATCGACCAAATTCCGAAGGGATACCTCCGAGCATCATATACTTGTTTTCACCCTCTCGGTTGATTGTGAATAATTCAAAGTTTTGTAAGCACTTTAAGCTCCACCAATCTGCTTGCGATGCATGATTTGATACAACAGCCATCATAAACTGGCAAAAACTTGTATCACACATATGTGAGTCTCGGGACGAGCGTGCTGAGCCATCGTAGGTTTGTTTAATTATGGTGTACGACAACTACTTTTGAGCATTTCGGGTTACCTGTGTTACTGCATTGGTCCTGCAACGAAACTGACGCTTAAATGGCCGTTTCATACCGGAATATCTCAAAGGATAAGAGATGCATTGGATTCGCCTTTGTACCAAAAGTAACCAATAGCCTTTAAAGTGAAATTCCAAACTTCCAACTTGAAGAAATCGGACTTTTCATACAATTTTGCATATGCTTAATCCTGTTTCACCTGCACCGACTGCCGAAACAGATGGTGGCCAAAGTCTTGAAACAAGTCAAACTCGGTTTATCCACCGCTCTAAATAGCATCTGGACCGAATTTCGTTGAGAGTAATGATTGAGTTGCTATGGTGAAGGAACGTAGGAAGGGAGAGAGGGAGCAGCAGAGTTTAATTACCGCCCAAGCAACTGTTTCCTGACCGACTAAGTGACCAACTTCAAAGGGGCTTTATCGATGGGGTGGAGATAAAATCAACTTACCCGGCCATTTGAGATAAAGAGCATTTAAGGCTTGTTTGCTTTCGCCTTATCACCCATGTATCAACATTCATGTATCTCTATCCTCACTCTGCCCCTCCTACTCTTACTTCCTCTTTCTTGCTGATTGAATTAATTCTCCCACCGGTGGGTATGTCCCGTCCCATTTCACTGACGATTGGGCCAGCCCAGGGTCTTCATGACCCTCGCAACACAGGAGTTTGCCATTCTGCCCATCAAAATTTCAAAGTTTGATTCAGACTTGAACTTTTGATTCATAAAAGCAAAAGAACACACTTCAAGGAGTGGAAGCTATCAAGGTTTTTTGGCAGCATTCTGCTGCACTAAGATACTTATATTGGAGTTCGGCTAACGTCTGGAAAGCTTCAACACAGAAAGAATTTTCGGTACGGCCAAATCACTCTCGGACGTCTTGCCTGTCTTGAAGTCGCAAACTTTGGATAAATGATGTAGTATTCCCATGAAAACTCATACCTTGGCCATCCAGGACCACATGGCAGAAATCCTTTTCAGACGTATAAAGTCCCTTCATAGTACCACCAAACCCTTCCTCAATGTTCTCAGTTGCCTCCATTGTTGCATTCCAAATTTTGATACACGACGGAAAGTAAACTCTAAATTAACACAAATTTTCTCTCTATCCCTTTTCCTCCTCCAAAATGAATTAATTCTCTTATTAACGAATATTTTCAGCCACCATTTTTGCAGCTTGCTTTTAAAACCTACCTGAAGCCTGCGAGGTCATAGGTTCACTCACTCCTGGGTCACCGGGGTCAGCAGCACTAGCGGTACCCTTGTCAGGAGTTGAAGAGGCGACCCCGACACCTCCACTGTTGCTGCTACTGCTTGTGCACGGTCCACTGGGTGGTGTAGCAAGGCGAGGTCGTCGTGAACAATAATTGGTCATGTGGGCGGTGAGGGTGTCCAAACTGGAGAAGAAGATACCACAGTAGAGGCATTTCTTGTCCCTTTTTGGACCACCTGTGGTTGTTGCCGCGGCTGCGCCTGATGAAGGTCCGGTACAACTCGAATTGACTGCTGGTGGTGAGGGAGATCCACTTCTTGAGGCTCCAGATGAATCTATGGTAGAAGGTGGTGCTAATTAGTTGGCTGATTTATGCTTCAAGTGACCGCAATTTGTGGCAATGAACTCATCTTGCTTTAGTAGAGTGGCAATATATCGAAAAACTACTTGTTTAAAATACCTAGTTATCTACTTAGGGTTTTATTCTCCCGTCTTGTTATCATGGCGTCTCACCAGTGCCTAATAGACTCAAGAGTCTTCCTTTAACCTCTCAAGCGATTGTACCCTACTACGACCCCTGAGGTGACTCTGAAAGTCGCAGTAGTGGTGGCCGTAAACAACCCCAACTTAAACAGACGCCTGCCGTTAGCCAATTCTGCAAAAACTCACAGTAGAGTAGCTATGAAAAGGGCATCGACTTCTGGCAAATTTTCAACTTTGGGTTCTGTAAAATTTTCAGTATTAGAGTGAGGATAAAGCTGATTTCACAAAGAAAAAGGAATTGGCATCAAAGACACACATACTGGTAAACATCGTCTGGTCTTTGGGACCAGAGGCCTTGCAGAACACAATGCTCAGAATTCCAAACCAAATCTCAAACACACTACTAATGAAGTAAGCAGTGCCCTCTATACGTTATTAATTCATTGTGATATCTTTAGTCCTGGTTCGCAATTGACTACAATCGGCAGGAATGCTTATGATGGCTGGAATAGAAGGGACGTAGGAGTCAACACTCAAAAGAAGAGATTATGCTCCGAAACAATATTTGCCCTAATGCAACAGGAGCTGTTAAGTGTCTTGGCACTTCTTCCATGCCTTTAGTCATCCAATCATCCTGACGCTAATAAACCTTTTCCATGCTAACATGCCTCAGTACGTCTTCAGGGATGTCTTTAAAAGCACTCAAACTGGTATCCGGCTATGTTAGCCTCACAATGTGAATGTATTTATAGAAGAATGCAGAGATAGGCATCTTCAAGCACGACGTCGTGAGCCTACCAGGCTTTTTAGTCGGAGCCACCCAGCACATTAAGATTGCCCAGAGAGATTACGCGCGGCGGAAGGTAACGTGTACACACGCACACACACGATTCTCTATTGCCACTACACTAGTCCCCTTCCTTCAATTCTCTTTTCTACACTTTCCTTTTCCAATCTAACTTTACAGCTGCAAGTGGTCACCATTCGTCTCTCTTGACTTAGAGGAGGAGAAGGAAGAAAAGAAAAAATACTTTTAAGGATCCGGTCTACGCTGGTCCTCTACACACTGCTTTATTGCTGAGATAAACCCATACTGCTTCAAAGTCCTAATGAAGTACTCTTGTTTATCAGCTGCCTCTCTCCCCTTTGCGACTTTAGCACCACTTTATCTGGCGCCTCGGAAGCAATTTCCCGGCATTCACCAATTATGATGTCGGTGATGGTATGAAAGGAAAGAAACTCACTAGGAGGAACCAGTTTAATTGCGCCCCGGATTTGGCTGCCCGATGCGATGTTGGTGAGTGAGACCACACTGATTGTCTCGGGTACAACTGAGGAGAGACAGAAATTAAGAAGAGAATTATGCAATGATACGGAATATCAAATTCCCAGCCTTTTAAAATCAACCAACTTTCAAAAATGATTTCCACATTTGAGGCGTCAGTTACGGCTGGCTCTTGAACTAGCTTGATCCAAGCGTTCTCCTCGTTCACCCGAACTACCAGATCACAGGCATCTCCACTCTAATGGCAAAAAACCTTAAAATATAATTTTCAAAGATAAGACCACTTTAGAATCATTCCGGCTCACTAGAACGGTGATCTGTCTATGAGCTGAAACTGGATTGCTTTCGCTGGGCGGACTTGTACTTCGAAACAGTTGAGCAATCCGATAGGGTCCCCAAATGTGGCCCACTGAGATATCGCAGGTAGCGCGTAATGCAGGTTTTTCAACAGAGCCTCGGTTTGGCTGCGACATGAGTTTCATCTCCAGTGGGAGTCGAATGTCTGGATATAGCAGTGGAGGCGTTGGCTTGCGATCCGCATTGCTGTTCTGCGTCGTTTGGCGCTTTGTGTCCGCTACCAGAAAGGCAAAATGGCACATGTTGAGGCATCAAAGGGTGGAGATGGGCCGCCTTTGTGTGCTTGCGTACTCATTCCCTACTTTTACTCCCATCCTTTTTCTAATGCCAGATAAATGACAACACAACCACGATAAAATCTACCTCGCATATGTCAGTAGGAGAGAAGATTGCTTGTGAATCGGGTGGGATTGCAGAAAGAGATATTGGACTTAAACTAGACGCCACACCTCATCTTCCCCTTTTCGAGTCGCCTTCCTCTGAACCAAAAAACCGAGCTTTTTGATAATACTTGCCCGAGTGCAGTCCCTATCACTTGTCATCATCTGGGTAAACTTGTTGAGAGTTCGCCGCGGAAAGAGAAGGCAGATTACTGCCACGATAGTAGTCATCATGCCCTGTCAGGTGTGTGTCTGCACGTGTGTGGAGAGATTTTGACTGTGATTTTACATGGAATGCCTACAAAACCTTGCTACCTAACATCAGATAAGTCCCTGCCAGTAGGGACTTACACGAATGCATTGGTGGAGACTTGAAGGTAAGAGACGTCGTTAAAAAGGATTTCTGCATACATTTTCTTGCTGATATTAGTATCCACAATCTATAGATTGCCCCATTACTGAAAGAACCTATTAAAATCTGAGTAGCTGCAAAAGTAGGGCGATCAAGAATGAATTGATTTGATGGTTGGATTGGTGATGGTCGACGACGTGGAATGGGTTCACGAAATAACTTGTCATTGGGCGCTTTTTGAGAGAGTTGGTGATAATTGTGGGCTGGGGATCGAGTCAGTCGACCGGAGGGGCTAGACAGATGGCATGTGTGCGGGAAGAGGTAACCAAGCATAGACAGATAAGCAGATATAACCATGTGCCTCTGATTATACACAAAAAGAAATAAGTTTGATAAATATGGAGAGATAGTGAGAGAGGACGAGGTAAGAGAGGCAGAGGCCGCGATATCTCGGTAGCTGATGCGTACACGAGCGCGCGCATGCGATAAGAGCGACATGATAGCGCCTTATCTTGGTGTGCAAAGAGCTAGGGGAGCGAGAAAGCAAGCGCGTACTCGCCCTGCTCTCTTGGTCGGTCGACAGAAAACCATCTCCCTCGCTCTCTCTCTCTCTCTCTCTGCGTGTTTGTGAGCATCGGGGGGAGCTGTAGATACCATCTCTTTGCTGTTAACAGCGGGAGCTGAGCAGATAGTATCACTTCGCTACAAGCCTCTACTCACGTACTCTTACAAATGTGGCGTAAAATCGACCTGCTTCGAGTTCTATCCCTCATTAATGCACATTTTCTTAAAGCAATTTGATGGAACGATAAGTGTCCTTACCACAATCTGTTTCCAAGTCTGTGCAACAGCGAATCTTCAATTTCAACGCCGTATTGCAAATGATTAAGCGGGGCTGATAGGAGTTAGTGGCGTGCACGTACAAGGAGATACGAGGAGTATGGAAAAACTGCCCCCAAAAGGATCAGATAAGGCGTCACCTTTCAAGCCACAAGACGATGGAGGCGCATAAACACAGAGATAGACTCATATATACATACATATATATGGGTTTATCAGGCAGTGGAATCAACTGCAACATACACCCCAAAAAATGCTGTTTCCGCAAAACCAACGTGATGGTGTTTATCAGGTGATACTGATTACATTGTGCCCATCTTCATATCACCTAGCTGTAAGAGGGATTTGTCAGGGCTAAAATTCCTCCTGTTACTTCATTTTAACCTATCCGCTACCAAGGTCTGTGAGAAAACCAACTATCATGTCTCAGAGGTTTAAATATTTTAGTGATATTAACACTTGGATGTCCGAACCGACCAACTCCTCAAAAATAGGGAAAAACGCATTTGTCATCTTGTATCTACACCATTGTTTTAGATTTGACCAAACTGTTTGAGACACAATTTTGGTATAACCTCTTGTCATTGGCTTAAAACAGTACCACTAACGATAGTGGACAAGAGTCCCGTTTCAGATTGGCATTTCAAACGGTTATGAAAGGTCGAGACGATAAACGATGCTGGATAAGTAGGATCGCTTCATATCAAAAATGAGAGTTAAAACGACCGCTTTACTGGCAATGGCCTATTCAATCATCACCGATTTCGCGGACTAGGACGAGGCACAGAATTGGGAATATAGTCGCATGACGGGCATTCACTCGGAGGGCAGGTACGCAGATTGCAACTGGCCGATAAGCGAGCTCGCAGTGATAACGACGAAGTGATAAGACCTTATCAGATCATGCGGGAATGCAATTCCTGCCTGGTTGGCTATGCTAAACTGGGGTGGAGCGGGTGGTTCTGTGTTTACCCCACCACCATCAGGTCCCCACCCCTATTTCTTCCCCCCTTGCCCCCCCCCCAATTCACCTTATCTCTCTCACCATATCGACAGGGCGTGCGCACAAATGTCGACGACGCAGATTTGCATACGCACGCACATAGAAAGCAAGAGAGGGAGGAAGTGATAGCATCTGTTTTTCAATGGGCCGTCCCACTGCTCTCCTTCTCTCTCTCTCTCTCTCTGCTTCTCTTTCTACCTTGCTCTCTTCGCCTATCTTTCCTCCCTGACCTACACTTACTCCTGTCCTCCTCTTAGTAGTAAGCAGGCCTAAGGTCTCTAAAGCTTGTCACAGTTCCGTGTCGTTTGTCAATTAGACGAAGAGAGAAAACTTCTGCTAGGAGTGGTCATTCTACTTCAGGGGTGAAGCATCAGTAGTGGTAATAGTGGTGGTTAAAGACCACCTAGTAATAGTATCAACAGAGACAATTATCTTACATAATCGGGTGCTTCAACAACTTGACATTAAAGTTGGGAACCATGTCGGTCTAAATGAATTGCAAGGGCGAATATTGTAGCGTGAAATTTCTTTCCCTGGCGCCACAGTAAAATGCTTTGCCTGTTAGTAGGCCTCGAATTTTCCTAACATTTGCCACTGCTGCAGACATCTTCAATCCCTTCTAAAGGTAGGGTCTTCTATCACCCAGATGATAGACACCCTAAAACCAGACGAGTGGACAGTGGAAAAGTGTAATCGAGTACCACAGATAAGAAACGAAAAAATGAGTTCTCGAAGAGCTTTTGCTCCAATAAACTATTGCTTTAAAACGCGAAATCAATTAGTAAGGAGGACAGACTGCTGCCGACTCTCAATAAAGTATAAGGTATGGAAAACAAAGGACTTACAATCTACAGTCGGGGGGGTTTCACTGCTAGTAGTCTCTATAGTGGGTGAGGCTGTGTCCATGGGCTCGCATTTGGTAACACAGGGCATTGGAAATGAAGTAAAAGAAATAAATCCCAGCTTTCACGATCTCGCTCCTCCGTACTTGTGGGTGCTCGTGTTCGTGCCTGTGCGCGATTCTCTAATTGACTACAACTTGAAGGGGGTCGGCACCCATGCCATCTGAGCCAATCAGAGTGGCGGCTTGACCGGCCAATTGAATAGCCACGCGAAAACTCCTGACTCAGTTGGCCAGCCAATCAGCGCTGCGTAAAAGCGTGGTTAATTTGGTTCCCTGTGCAGGAAAGGTGATTGATGGTGCTATGCCTGTTTTTGATGCCTACTACAAAGAAATCCTTGAAAATGCAAACTCCAGATAATGGAGAATGTTGAGCGAATCACAAAATGGATTAGAGAGTGGATAAAAGTTACTGCTAACACTGAAAAATTATTACTGCAGTACTGAGAAAATCAATGACTGCATGAAGGCTCACTCCAGCAAACCAAAAAAACCAGAAATTATTTTGAAACAGATATGTTTATGCAAAAAAATTGGACAGGAGTCCAGTGTTCCTAAGTAATTCAGCCAAAATAAGGAATTAGTCGGAATATCAAATAAGGTGTGATTAAAAGGGTTCAAGTTTTGTCCCTTGCATTTAAGATGCAAGACTGTACCCCCTAAAAGTAAGTCTTCCATGTCCTTATGAGTTTACTTTTTCAAATTTTTGTTTTAACGACTCGGGATAAAACTGGGTTTATATTATTAGGATTTAAATTAAATTAAATTATCAACTGTCAAATCGTGACATAGGAAATACAGAAAATTACAGTTTTGTAAGGATTATTAAGCCTTTTGTTGCTGAGACTTTGGCCTTTGAAAATTAGCACTTAGCAAATTATCCCTAATGATTGTTGGATTGTTTCCTAGGTTCGCCGTACTTGTTGTGGATACGGCCGACACAACATCAATTGCCACACATCTTTCGAGTTGCGCAGCTAAAAATGTGTGATTTTTTCTTTTGATTATTAATAACCTTTCCCTCTTTTATTGTTTTAAGTTTAACTAAAAATATGCAAAATACTGAGGTGCATCTAGTTATCACAAATTGACAAATGATACATGTCACATATTTGTGACGCCGAACTCAGTTTGATGTTCAGTGACGCATTTACTTTTACAAGTAATATTACGATGATTATTCTAGTTTGGCTTCATTATTAAGAATGCTTTTGACAGTTTTGCCGATTTGTTAGAATCGATACAATTGCATTTTGACATTCGTTGACGGATAATGTACTTTAAGCGCATCAAAACAAAATCCATTTAATCTGTAAACAAAAGAACGAATTATAGTTTATTTCTAATAAAAAAGTACCAAATGAGGCTTTACGTGCAAAATCAATCCGATTTTTGCTCTAAGTGCGGTTGGGCTAAATTGTGTCGCAGAGAGATGATACAAACTTATTACCAGCAAATAAATAAACGTGGAAATTTTCCGACCTTATGGTAATTACATCATTTCAGCTTTTAAGCACCACTTTTTCTTAAATTAAAAAACAGCCTATTTGGACTGTGGAGGTCGATATGCTTCTCAGACTTGGGTAACGAACGCCCTGACGCCTGTCATTTGGACACCTCAAGCTGCAATTGTCACATTCTATTTCACGAAAAATAAATGTCTATTTTGATGTAGAAGCTACAATTACAAACGCTTGTTGCGTAACCGACAGCATTTATCTGTTATATTGTGGGGTTTATCAGAGCTTTACTAGCATGAAAAGAACATCGGAGCAATTGCCTTATCTCGCCAATGTAATGTCTGGCGTCAAAAACACCATTTTCTGGCGACATAAGGACCATAAATCGAATGATTTTGAGTTAAATCTGATCTCACCCGTCAGCATCATTACTCCTACATGTCCACTACTCATTCAAGCCTCCCAAGGATTGTTTTAAACAGGCAAAATTTAAAAGTGAAAATCAACCCTCCAACAAAATCTCGCATTTGAGAGGAAGAGAAAGAGAGATGGGAGGGTAAGATAGAAGCCTGTCGAAAGATCGCAGTTAGGAAAGCGAAAGAGGGGTTCGAGCGATTCGATAAGTACGCAAAACCTGTTCTCCCTTGTGGAATTCCCTATCTATCTATTAGTAAACCCTAAGAGAACGTTTTCGAGGTGGCTCCAAGCGATAAGATCACCGCTAAGGATCTGCGCCTTCCGCTTTCTCTCTCTCTCTCACTGTGTGCCTATGACACCTTAAAAAGGAGGAAAAAATCCGATCTAACAGGCAAACAGAGGGCCATTCACTTGCTCACGAGTGTAAAGGCGCCTTTCCAAGCCGGCTGTGGCCATCACTGCACTGTTGAATGCTCTTGAAGGTGTATTATTCAAACATTCCTTTTTCTCACTGACCTCAGCAAAAATACATTTATTTAAAAGTACATGAAATAATTATATGCAGCGTGATTTACCTATTACCAATGGATTTTAGTAATTCTGGTCCTCATTCTTCACTCCTTTTAAGAGAACCGGCATGATTTCCGACCGCGTCTATTACACACACTTTTTCTTAGCCCGAAAAAACCCCCAGAACAACTGGAATGTTTCATCGTTATAATATAATTCCGACTGTTTCCTAATCAAAGAGGTGTATTTACTTCAAGCTAAATATATTCTTCGTTATTTTACTGTCTTCAATCGCATTAGCCATTTTTGACAAGATTTATTGCAAATGTTTATCATTGACTAAGAAAAAGAGGTCACATGTTTGTAATGCTGATTAAATAAATGCTGAGGCCATTCTCCTCCTTCAGACAAATTAAACCTCCTTTCAAGATTCACGGAACTTCTCCAAGTGTTCCCACAACACAGACACCTGGATGCAAACGCACTGCGTAGAACTGCATACAGCAAAAGAAATTTATTTGTTAAATTAATCTAGCCTACGATGGTTTGACCATTGGGATGCTCTCTTGTAGAATCTTAGTTTCCTTAACTTTTTTGTTTCAACAACTTAGGTAAGAAATTTTGTGAGCTGACATTTTGATGAGACATTTGCAAAATATGAATACTACGGCAATTTATATGGCATTCATAATTTATTTGACTTTTTGTAAATAAGTCTTATCATAACGTTAGATTCTTCTATGGTTCCGGTGTTATGCCTCGTGAATCCTCTACAGATATTCGAGCAATAAATTAGCGACACCAACCGTATTAGCTGCGTTGTTTAAGATATTAAACTGGCACCTTTTAGTGACTTTCTTTAGAGGCAACTCAAACATGCCATTTTATTGTTTGGATCAGTAGGATTCAGTAATATTTTCGGTAACTAATTCACAAACTTATGACTATTATGC